AGGCATCCAATATATTGCCACATAAAATATTACTACATAATCTAGTCACATTGATGCAACAACACACCAAAGCTACATAAATTAAGGAGGAGTTGATGGTAATAGGAGTCATATGTTAGCTTGGACAGAGGATTGGTTAAACAACAGGAAATAGAGAGTCAGGAGAAATGAGTCATTTTCAATCACATTAGATAGTGGGTCAAATGACCCACTACTCTTTTCTCTTACACTTTTCTGAAGTGTTGCCACTACTGAAATGCAGACAACCAAACAGCTCATTTGCATGCAGTAAAGTTCAATTAACGACAATGTGACAATGATCAGACATTCTTTTTTTTGTAGTATTGATTAAGGGATAAACACAAGGATAATTCCTCTTCAAAATAATGCCTTTTTAAACTGGCATTTTTATAGCCAGGTGGGGCCAGAATTTAAAATCGTTTTGAAATTGTAGAGCCTCCATCAGTGCAGCACTCCCTCAGTACCAGCGTGGAGTGTCAGCATTAATTTTTGAGCTCCAGCCCTGGAGTGGGACTTGAAACCAGACCTTGCAAGTCATAAACAACCACAAAAAAAAATTGCTGGAGAAACTCAACAGGTATAGCACATCTATTGAGAGAAACAGAGTTAATGTTTTGAGTGCTGTATGACTTTTCCTTCAGAAATTTGTAATTTGAAGACAAGAATGCTATCAATTGAGTAACAGCTGAGCAGAACAGATATTTCCAGTTGGAGAACTGGCATCACCACTGGTTTGATATATATGATATAATTTTAATGAATTCTCAATCATTCACCTTTGCAAACTCTTCAATTAGAAGGCACCACTTACAGCAATGTTGTTTCTGAAGCCAGAACACTGTCCGTAGTATTGGCTTCTGAATATTCTACACATAGCTAAGCCTACTATATCTTGCAGGCTTGAAAGCTCATAGTCAGCTCCTGTATTTTCTGCTCAATAAGAGGTGACAATCCATTCAAGGACTTGTAATCCAGATGCTGACTCTCACAAGTATCATTTGTCTCTGAAAATTCCTCATGGAAAGTACAACTGTTAATACATTTATGCAAAATTAACACTTGCCTGAGATAAAAGCCTTGAAAATTCAATCAAAGGCTTTCGATTAAAGTAATAAAACCCTCAAATCCTCACAAGGTGAGGACGCTACACTTGCAGCATTCAAGATCTGTTGTTAAATGTTGCTAAATTCATATGTTGAGAATGCGCAGATGTAGCTAAAAGCTACCTTTCAGCTGTTGTAGAGTAAATCATGTTCAAGCTTTTCAGCCCGGTTGAGGCCTTGAAAGGAAAATGTAAAGGTATTGTAAAATACAGATTATCAATTGTGGAATGATGTGACTTTTTTGCGAATTGTATGTAATTTGCTTTGGTCAAAACCTCATTTTGGCCATTAGAAATTTCAGTTATTGAGGGAAAGAAATAGTATTAGAAAAAAATTCAAAAGTTTTCTCTGATTTTGTGAAGAAAAAAGATCAGGTAATACAGGGCCATCTAGTGGTATTAAACCTCATAGTTACAGGTAAGTTTACAGGTATATATGGAGATTTTACCTCTGGAATTTGCACAGGAAATTTTTCCATAGGTTTCAATGGAACACATGGTAAAGGGAAGAATTTCAAAATATTATGTAGATGTGTGATAATCATAATTAGAGCAGATAAGAGGGATGGTGAAACTTGGAAACAGGAAGTCTGGCTATACCAGTGAATAGTCAGTTTGGTCAAAAATTTTAAAAAAAATTGTGCTTTAGGGATTCACCTGAAATTTCTACAATAAAAAAAAGTTGAAGAATTGAAGAAGGCAAGTTTACAATAATTGCCTGTTTTTATAAAATGTATTTTCTCTTTTGAACTATTTTCAGACTCAAACACTGCTCTTAATGAGATGGGATGCACAAATAAAGAATCTTACGTGTGAGAATAGTAACAAACATACAGGGTGTTCTCAATGAAAGGTTTTCTGAGGGAACTTGTGCATTCATTTTCCTCCATTTGAATTTACATCATAACTGTATACACCAATTGTGTAAGCAATTTATTCAGTGGCACCTTCCAATGCACAATTTGAAATATCAAGAAAAACATTGATAACAGATTCATGATTTATGAACCTGACTTTGTGTGTGTATTGCCATTTATTAACTTTCTCTGGGATCCTGAAAATCTCTACCCAACATTACAGCGGGAGTACATTCACCGTGTGGAACTTCAGTGGTTTAAAAAGGTAGGTCACCCACCTCCTCAAAGTCACTAAGGGATGGATAATAAATGCTGGCCTTCCTGGTGATGCACATATCCTGAAAATCTGTCTATTCCTTATTTAAAAGGAAGAACACCAATAAGAAAGCTGCTTAATTGTCATGAGACCATAAGGTATAGGAGCAGAATTAGACCATTCAGCTCATTGATTCAGCTCGTCCATTTGATCATGCCTGATCATTCTCAACACCATTCTCCTGCATTCTTTCCATAACCCTTGAACAATCTAAAGAAAAGATTTCCACCTAAATTCCCACTTGCCTCATATTTTCAATCTACTGCTCACAAGCAGGAACTAATGACTGTGTGAAGAATATTATTCCATCAGTTTATACGGTTCATAGATTACAAGAAACCTCCCCAAATTATAGGCCAAACCAAGATATTCATTACACTTCCTTTTGTGGTTCCTGCTGATTCTCAGTAGGCGACACAAACCGACCAAGTGAAAGTGTTAAGTACTTCTACTTAGAAAGAAATAAAAAAAAGAAATCAATGTGCATTGCCCGTGATGATCTTTGCAAGTACATATTTTATTGTTTACACAGGTGTTTTTACTGGTGGTAAAACAAAACTGAAAGAAAAAGTCATGGTGATTTTGATGGTGGGAAGGTCAGTTGTATGTGATAACATGTCTGGCTAGGAAAGAAAAAGAATAATAAAGAAAGAAATCAACAAAGGCTCTTGTGATACAGTAGTGTCCCTGCCTTCCAGAAAGGAAGTCGTGGTTCAAGTCCCGACTACTCTAGAGGTGTGAAATAACAAAACTGAACATGCTGATTAAAAAATATATAAAAGAAGAGAGAAATTAACGATAGAAGCCAGTGATTCTCAATCATCCCTATTCTCCTACCTATAGATCGCAAGAAGGCAGAATGGCCAAATTACAAGACCTCCCTTGAATGAATGAGAGTGGCTGGAACAGTCCTCCCTTTCTTGGACAGCTTATCCATAAATAAGAAATAATCTCACTAAATTAGTGAAAATTATGAAGGAGTTGCACCAACATACACCGAGATATTGTTTGAAACAAGGTTACAGTCGATTATTGCAAACATAGGGATAAGGTCTCAGATTCGAGATAGACTCTCGCTTGCTATACTTAAAGCTACAGGGACTTGTGGGGGTGGATGGGGCAGCACATTGTGGCATTTACATGACATAGCTACTGGAAAAAAAGATTTAAGACACAGAGACTTTAATTGCAGTATATTGCTGAGGATTTCATTAAACAACCTGTAGCCTAAGCTGGAGTTGGTTGAAAATAATTAAATTTGAGATTAAAATAAGTGAGATGGTTCTAAACATGAAAATAATAAATACTCTCATTAGATGGTAATAGACAATGAACTTGGCACAGGGGTCCCGGGAAGGATTTTGTCATTTAAATCTTAATTAGAATCATTTTAAATTATCCAATTATCTGCAGACATTTTTAAAACTGATCACGCGGATAATAGTTGAGTAAATCCAAGTTGCATACGGCTGTTTAGAGCTAATAGTGTTTAAATATGTTGCATGTACATGGAGTCTATTCTGGATCCCATTCTCCTAGTAGGAAGCTACCGTTGAAGAGAACCTCTTTATAGTTCAGTCATTCTAATTAACTAAATGGAAAATATTAGGCTTTTTGCACAACAGAGTCAGTGAGTGTGCTTCAAAGCTGGAATAATGTGCTCACCGAATTGGGCTGCCATATCTACATGGGTGAACTGATTCGTTATCAGTTGTAACAATAATCAGTTGTTCTCTGATGCCCTTTCTCAAGATTTAAGCAAAATCAAAGCCAAAGCAAAAATATTGCAGACCCAGAAAATCTAAAATGACAGTTGACTTGTTAATGTTAAATCCACTAAAAAAGTTAATTTGTCTCTTCATAGATGCTGAGTATTTCTAGCATTTTCTGTTTTTACTTTAAATAGATCACTCATTTAAAGTAAACAGACATCTAAACCTATGGCCTTACTGCTGACAGTTACAAATGTAAATAAATATCTCCCAGGCAATTTTGTGCTTTGTTACACAATTAGGAATAATAGAAAGCATAGGAAATGTGGCAAAGATACAGTATATTCCATTGCCTATTCATATTACAACTAAATACAATAGGTTAGCATTAAAAACATTGAACACACACACACACACACACACACACACACACACACACACACACACAGCTAAAAGTGTTATATATATATGAGAATACAGATTACGAACAGGCCATTCAACCCTTTCAGCTTGTTCTACCATTTAGTGAGATTATGGCTGATCTATTTGCTGCCTCAACACTACATCCCTCCCAAACCCTGAACGGTTTCAATCAAGAACTTATATTTCTATATAAAGATCAAACGGATTTTTTCATTTAACCTATTTTGCTAATCAACCTGTTCAAAGATGTTATTACACACCTCTGGAGCAGATGGGACTTGAACCCAGCCCTCCTGGTCCTGGGGCAGGGACCCTATCGCGGCACCACAAGTGGGGCCTTCATAGAACATGAAATAACACCACAGAGGCTGGTATCCTGTCACCAAGTCATCTTTTATTTACACATGCATTGGACTTGACACTGCTTTTCATAGCACGCTCTCAGAGTGAACAGAATCTCTGATACGCTTGTTTTTATCTGTCAGCCAGGGCTCCCTGATTGAACCAGATCAACAGCCCCAATCAGGGAACTCAGATTCTATGAAGTCCACCTGGCCGACCTCATTACAATCACTACGGAACACTTCACAAATTTGTGTGCCATCCTTGTGCAGGCCCATGTTAATCTTCTCTGTATCGCTCTGGTTTTAGTACACACGCAGCCGAAGTAAGCACAAATTCTGTATTAAAAGCAACTATTTTAGTTGGATTAGAAACTGAGGTTAATACACAAAAATGGATAACCTTTATAACATGGCTGCAGTTTCAGAAGCCTGGCAAGCTGATTGGGGTTCAAAAGAGCTGGTATGATTTTCTTTGAACCTGGCAACGAACAATGGAGTTGATGATTCTCACAGCCTCCAACTTCTTACTCGAGAGATGAAATTAGCCTGATTGCCAAAATCAGGGAAGTAGAATTTAGTAAGGAAGATATTTGGACAGAGAATTTATATACCTTTTTAAAAATTTGGCAATCTGGTAGGACAATAATAAGTCAATAGTATTCCAGTCTTCCTTAGAGAGGGGGTGGTGCCAGAGGATTGGAGGACAGCAAATCCTATTTTTTTTTAGGGATAAACCTAACAACTGCAGGCCAGACAAGTAGAGGGAAGACTTTAGAGAATACGGGCAGAATCTTCCCAGGCCCTGAGCAATGTGAACAATTTGGAGAAATTGGGTGAGAAGTTGAGCGAGGCCGTTCTTGACGTAGAGAGTGAAAAATCATGCTTCCCAACAAACAACTGGATGTCAAGACAAGATTCTTGCTAGTAAAGGGTGAGAGGCCCATTAATGTGGATTATTGCTTACTATCATAGAAACCCTGCAGTGCAGAAAGAGGCCATATGGTCCACTGAGTCTGCACCGACCTTCTGAATAGCATTCCACCCAGACCCAACACCCCACCCCATCCCTGTGTTTGCCAAGACTAACCCACACATCCCTGGATATTATAAGGCATTCTTTTAGCATGGCCAATCCATCTAACCTGCACATGTTTGGACTGTGGAGGAAACCAGAGCACTGGGCAGAAACCCACACAGACAGTCACCCAAGGCTGGAATCGAACCTGGATCCCTGACGCTGTGAGGCAGCAGTGCGAACTACTGCGCCACCTGAGAAACAGTGTGGCCATGTGGAAGGAAAGGAGGGCCATGCATTGGCCAGGAATTGAACCAGGGCCTCCTGCGTGGCAGGTGAGAATTCTACCACTGAATCACCAATCACTTTACTATTACTTAATCTCATCTCACTAAAATGCATATTCTTCCACCTGCTGGGATAGAGTGAGTGAGAGATTGGATTAGCTTTGGTTAAATGGGGCACCATAAGGGCACGGCTCATAGTTCATAAGGCAAGTTTGGGTTGACATGCATGCGAACGTTCACTAGAACCTGGGTGGAGAAACCCTTCGTGAAACTCAAAATAACTGACACTTAGCCAATTTCTGGTAAGATTCAGCCCAGTAATTCGAGATAAAATTAGTTGCTACTAGTTGTTAAAGCCAAATTGAATTTGACAAATGATGTGGATATGGCCACTCAAGAGCCATTTGCTTGGAGCTAAATAGTATACTTGAAGTAAAAGTAAAGCTGATAGGAATAAAGAGAGAATGGCAGCATGGTTACAAAACTGAGTCAGGAATAGAAAATAGACAGCAATACTGAATGGCTGGTAGTTCGGGTGGGAGGAAGACAGACTGCGAATGTTTGCTAAGTAATAATGCAGGAGTTTACAGTTAAATAGTCCAATCACTGCTCCTTTTGATACATATAAATGAGCCGTGTTTGGTATAGACGGCATAATTTCAAAGTTTACAGATGATACAAAACACAGAAAAGCACAAAAACATTTGGATGATCATAAACAGATTTTAAGAAAATATGGATAGATTTGTGAAGGGAGTAGACACATGTAGAAGAAATGAAATGTAGAGTGTTTGCTGACGATACCATCACTTTAGGTTGGAGACAGACTACAGGAAAAAGACTGAGTGCTTAGTGGCATGGTGTAAAGACAACAATCTCTCCATCAATGTCAGCAAAACGAAAGAGCTGGTCATTGACTTTGGGAAGTGGAGTGGAGGGCATGCCCCTGTCCGTATCAATGGTGCTGAGGTGGAGATGGGTGAGAATGTCAAGTTCATGGGAGTGATGATCACCAACAATCTGTCCTGGTCCACCCACGTCGACACAATGGTCAAGAAAGCACAGCAACCTCTCTACTTCCTCAAGAGGCAAAGGAAATTTGGCTTGTCCACAAGGATTCCAGTTTTTATAGATGCACCACAGAAAGCATCCTACCTGAATGCATCACAGCACAGTATGCCAACTGCTTTGCCCAAGACAACAAGAAACTACAGAAAGTAGTGAACACAGGCCAGTCCATTACACAAACCAGCCTTCCATCAAACTCCATCTATATTTCCCACTGCCTCAGGAAAGCAACCAACATAATCAAACACTCCTCCCACCCCAGTTATACTCTGTTCCAACCTTTCAACCGGGCAGAACATATAAACGTTTGAATACATGTACCAACAGATTCAAGGAAAGCTTCCTCCCCACTGTTACCAGACTTTTCGATGGATCTCTCAAATGTTAATTCTGATCTCTCTCTTTGTACCTTCTCTGCGGCTGTTACACTATTCTGCACTCTGTTCTGCTACCCTGATGCACTTTGTATGGTACGTTCTGCCATTAGAGCACACAAAACAACACTTTTCACTGCATCTTGGTACATGTGGCAACAATAAATCAATCAATCACAACTGATCAGAAGAATGAAGAGAGTTAAAATAAACCAAAAAGTACAATTTTAAGGGAAGTAAAGTGACAGAAAGACCTGAGGATGCTGTGCACAAATTTTTGAAGGTGTCAGAGCAAGTTGTGGAGGTTGTTTAAGAACATTTGGAATCAGTGGATTTATTACTAGAGGAGTAGACTGTAAGAGCACAGAAGTCATGCTAAACCTACGTAAAATACTACTTAGGCCACAGCTGAAGTGTTGTGTTAAATTGTAGTCATCTCACTTCAGGAAAGGACACTAAGGCCTTGGAGCAGGTACTTTGGAGATTTACAACAGAGGTTCCAGGCTTCAGGGACTTCAGTCATGTTGAGAAGCAGGAACTGTTCTCCTTAGAGCAGAGAAAAGTTGAGAGGATATTTGATAGAGGTGTTCAAAAACATAAACAGTTTTGACAGAGTAAATAAAAAATAAACTGTTTTCAGTGACAGAAAATGCAGTGACAAGACAACACTGTTTCAGGTGATTGGCTAAAGTACCAGAGGCACCACTGGGAAACTTTTTTTAAAAAAATGCATTAAATTGTGAAAGGGATTGCCTGCAAGGGTGGTGGAAGCAGATTCAACAGTGACATAAAGAAGAGAATTGAATATATCCTTGAAAGAAAATAATTACAGGGCTATGGAAAAAGTGCAGGGGTGTGGTATTAATTGGGTAGGGATATCAAAGGGAGCTCTGTCATGAATGGCCTCCTCTGCATTGTATAATTGTACAATTGTAATATTTTTATTGTGGTTTCCTGATAAATATGTTCTTGAAGTAAGTATCTTCTATGTTGTTTATGTTTGAACAGCGTGATCTATGTGATTAAAAGCAGTAACCTGTTTGTTCCTTTTTTGGATTAATTGGTCTTCAGAAGTTCTGGAACAGATTAGGTCAAAACCATCTCGGATGCCAGAGTGCAGTCCTGAGGAAGTCCTTTAACATATCCATAAGCTTCATTGAAATTTTGGAGTAAGAATTTAAGAGCCATTTGCACCATTTCTGGGTTTCTTCTATGGAACTTACGAACGGATAGCTCCTGTGAAGGAGAGAGTTTTGTAAGAATGTAGGGTACAAGTTAATTGTAAGACCAACATCAATTACAGACTGAGTTTTTAAAGAATCAATCTAAATGTTTATTCATCTTGATAAGATACAAGTCCCATTCCAGGTACGTTTTCAAAGGTTTTATAGAATTTGTAATGTTTATCACAAGTACAAAAGAGGTGATACTTAATGAGGCAGTGATTTTCAGTCTATCCATGCTGGGAGTTTGCGATTTGACCAGTTACCAGTCTCTTGTCTGTTCACTGAAGTTCTTCTTCTTTTTTCAATCTTCTTTATCGATCAAACCACTAAAACTCAAGCCTTAAAAACAATTACTAGCCCCTATGCTTGCATGGTCAAACATGTGCTGAAATCTAATTTACCATTCAGAGTATAAACAGTTTGAAAGCCTTTGTACTGCAGTAGTACTGTCCCTACTCCTCAGCCAGGGGGGCCTGGGTTCAAGTCCTACCTGCTCCAGAGGCGTGTAATAATATCTCTGAACCAGTTAATTGGGGAAATATCTGCATAAACAGTTCAAATAATATTTGGCTAAACAATGTCTGCCTTATTCCTGAACACTTCTAAAGAAATCAATGTCCTATCAGTGATATCATTTCCTGTTGTTTCCTGGATCATTTGTTCATATATCAGTCATTTTATAAGATTGTCCCTTTTATAACAGCATGTGTTGCTTAGCTTAATGATGCTGCAGATCTTTCCCAAGATAAGGTGACACTGATAACAATTAATTAATCTGCGTAGAATATGCAGTATCATTCCTCTATATATCCCAAATGATGAGTTTAAGAATTCTCCAAAGTCTATCAATATCCTTTAAGAATGAGAACTGTGACTCCACAAAACCTGCTAGTGCTGAAAACAAATTAATATTCAATAATACCACACAAATTAATACACTGAGGCGATGCATATTTTCAATTACAAAACTGAATCGTTTTAGAACATAGCTGTGTCTTTGAACAAAAGTTGTGTCCACTTCAAAAACATTTTTACATACCGGAGCCTAAGTTTACATTAGTCTGAGCCATAAAACAGCTTTAAAACCAACTCTTGATTTAACCATTAGGCTTTTCACAACTAACCACACGTAAACGTACTTTGATGGAATCCCGCCTTTGCTTAGTCATGCCAAAATTATTAACTATTGAAAAACAACCTAATTCTGCAGTTTGACCAAGGGATGGTACAATTTTGATGATACTATGGCTTTATGAGGTATATTTTGTCCTGAATTTATTTTATGATGAAAGGTTGAGACAGAAGTAGCAAGTGGACTGCTCAAAGCCGATAAAGTAAACAGCTTGTGCGGCCTTGGGT